CTTAGGAGCAGTATGACGAGGAGGAAGGGGGAGTAGAAGGAAGAGCAGGAGAGGCTGCTGAAGGCGAAGAAGAAGAGAATGATGTTGACGATGACTCAGAAGAGGGATATATAAGTCCCAAGGATCCTTTCCCACGTGAAGCCAGAAGGAGGCCAACGGAGGAAGATTTGAACAAGGATTTTGACCCGAACGAGGAGGTAGGGAAAAAGCCTTAGCTTGTAAATTTTGCTAAAGCTTTGGCTGTGTTACCTCTACTAACACTTTGACCTGTCGTATATACAGGTCCCTCCTGAAACTCGGAAAAGGCGACATCGACGTCCGCGACATCTCGCTGGACAGGACGGAGTAGAGGAAAGGAGAGCAGAGGCAACAGCCACAGAGACGGATCACGATGCCTCTGCTCCACAACCTCAAGAGACAACCACGACTACCAAGCCTAAGAGGAAACGAGGGGATAGAAAAGGAAATTTATATCCAGATAAGGCATGCTATGTGATAACGGAGGTCGGGCTAGCAGGGGAGATCCTTGAGCCGAAGGAATTAAGAGGACGATTCCGTAATGCAATCGGGGCCCTACTAAGAGATAAATTGAACCCAGCAATCCCTAACTGGAAAGAGATACCACAGAACAAAAATAATGAACTATGGGATACACAGCTGAAGCTCAATTTTAGATTTTCGGAGGGTAAGCACGAACTGGTAAAAAAATGCTTTCAGGATGATAGGAGAGTCATTCCTACGTTGGAGATCAGAGCTCAACACGAAGTATATCCAAAAGGGGTTAACTCCCTTCAACGAGTTCAGCAAAATAACTCCTAGTCAATGGGAGGAGCTCGTGGCTCAGAAGACTTCACCGAAGGCATTGGAGCTCAGTGCCCGTAACACCGAGCTGGCGAAGAGGAACAAACACCACCATCATTTAGGCCCCAGTGGCTACTATGCCAAGGAAGAGCAATTTAGGAAGATGGACGAAGAGGCCGCATCTGCTGGGAATATCGATGTGATGAATTTGAAGGTACGCTCAAGAATTGGATATATGCGAGGAGTACAGAATCATCTGGCGGTAATCTTAAGTTTGATAAGCCGGAGACCCAAGAGACAGTATCAAGGATACTAAAATATGTTGAAGACAAGGAGAATGGCTCATTCAATCATTCCAGAGAGAGAGACGAGCTTAGCTTTGACTTGGAAAACAGGGAGCACATAGGGCGCACCAGGCTGGCCAAACCGCCCCTACAAAGGGTTACGAGCCGCCCCTAAAAAGCGTTTCTGCAGCAGTGGCCCCAACCCATTTCCAGACAACCAAACAGCCCAAACCTGACTCCAGGGAACCAGGCCAGGGGTTGGCCACCCAACCAAACATGCCCTATAAATACTTGTGTGGCTGGCTCTTTTGTGTCTCTTGGCACCCTCGGCTGATTTTCTATTTTTTTTTTTTTAAGAAGGTTTATTGAATTCTATGATCTTTGATTTCTTGTCTAACTGGTTGAAAAAATTTGATTATCAGTGAGATGAGCATTGGTTCCAAATGAGTAGCTAACCATCGTGTGACAAGCCACACGTGCTTAGTAGCTTTGAAGTGGTTTCAGTTCGGTGGATTCAGTGGATGCGGGTGATTAACCAACTACACCAGTGATGTAAGTTATATGTGTGCGTAACACACGGACAGCCAAACAAGGCCTACTGGATTCCAACCACTGAGTTACTAGCTCGTTCATATTGTAAATATACTAGTATTTTATATATTTTAGCAATCTTAAAATTGTTTATAACTTATGTAGAAAATTGAGAATTGCATGAAGGGAAATTTACCATGAGTCCGAGACAGTAGGAGACCGAGACACCAGCGATTCGCCCCGAGTTGTCTTGAGCGTGGCTGGGTGGGATGCACTTTCCTCTGGTGGCAAACTGGTAAAGGGCAATGCAAAGAGGCAAGGACACGGTTTTGTCCCTTCTCGCTCACCACGTACAGGTAGACGCCCGAACGTGCATGTCCCCAGCATCATGATGCCGTTCCTGATCCATTTTGAGCACGGCCACTTGGCCAGGGTACACGGTAGAGGCATCCAGCCCACGACCACGTCGAACTGCCACACGTGCCGTGTGCATGTAATTACATACTCAAAGTGGAATATAACTACGACTGTAGAGACTATAGAGGTGGGTTCACCGGTTTAGTACTCCGTAGTATCTATGCGACCATGCGGCACGTGTGGCATCATGAGTATCCCATGATTTGGTCGGTAGCCTCGACGTCGCCGGCTCGCCGCCGACGGCCATCTCCGGGCGGCAGCTGGGTGGTAGAGGAACGCTAAGTACGAAACGGCCGGCAGCTCAGCCTAGGTGGTAGAGGAGCGCCGGCCCCTGCCGAACCGGGGCGGGGCTTCACACGGATCGTTTCGTTTGAGGTCATCACCGTTCACCCCAGCTCCTTTTTTTTTAGGCGGACCGGAAATATCTTCCATCTCTTCGTTTTCGTTTGCGCTGCGCTGCGCTGCCACCGTATCCGTATAGTGCGGACGCACAGCCATTTTCCGTCGCCCCGTAATTTTTGCGAGAATATACCAGGCCAGCTGTTTAGCAGTGGCAGGAGGATCCAAACTTGGATTTCAAAACGAAGCTCCAGAAAGATCCGGTGAAATTCGTTCCAGGGTTCAAAAGACCGAAAGGCCGAAGCCTTTGAGCCTGCCCCTGCCCTCCCTTTTCCCTTGGACAGTGCCACGGCAGCCTTGACCAGAAGTAGACCAGACCAGATCGCTTTCGCAGCAGCCTCTGCCAGCGCCTGGTCCACTGCCCTCCCTCCCTTCCCGGACCCTCCCTTCTCCGCTCTTGGCTTGGCTTCCATGATCCCATCGCTCGTCTCCGTCTCCATCTCCATCTCCATCTCATCGACCTCCCCCTAGTACTACTAGTATATAATCCAGCGTCACGTACGGGGCGGGCGCACGGCGCGGCGCAGCAGCAGCAGCAGCAACTCCGCCGCACGCCTCGCCGCCTCGCAAGCATTCGCCTCGCGCATCGCCCGTCCTCGTCCGCGCCACCGCCACCAGCAGCAGCACGTGCGATCCGAGAGGGAGTTGGGGCGAGGACCGGGACGGTGGAAAGAACCAAACCCTACGACACGACCGCCGGCGGCGAGCTGTGAGGACGTCGACGACGTCACCGGCGACCGCCTTCGCCTCCAACGACTCCAGCTCCTCCAGGTAGGCGCCGCCATCCCGGCCGTCCGTCCGTCCTTTCCTGCTCCCCGCCCCCTCAGCAACCGCCGGGTCTGCGTGCGTGCGAGCTTGTGTGCGTTCCGTTGGTCCCGCCGTGAGTCCCGGCGGCCGCCATTCGCGCATGGACGCGTCGTCGTCGTTCTCGTTCCGCGACCGCCTGGCTATAGGGCACCGACTCTGCTCGACACGGCGGCGCGGTCTGCATGCCAGTCCGCTCACCGGTGACACGCGTCGCGGTGGCTCCCTTGTGGCCGCTCTCTGGTTAGGCACCACTGCCGCAAGGCCTTATAGCCAGGCTTCGTTGCATGCCAGTAGAGATGTGGGGTGCTTCTCTGTTCAAGGCTTCGTCGACGTGCCTCGCGAATTCATCTTTTCAACTCTCTAACTCCTGGCGTCCGTGTTCGCTGCAGGGTCTCTGCGCGATGAGGAAGAGGGCGTCCTCGTCGGCCGCCTTGAAGGCGATCGTGGCATCGGCTTGGTTCGGCGTGCTGCTCGGTTCGGCCTCCCTCGCCGCTTCCGACGACGCAGGTGCTGTTTCCGTCGTGCTACTTCTCCGCCACGGCAATTTGGCCTTGTTTTGTTTTTCGGTTCCGTTGCTCCAATCTAGTACCAACGTACTCCGCCGCCGTACTCTTGATTGTATTTGTTGGGATTTTTTTGAGCATTTTGTTTCCATAATCCAGGTTTTTTCTCATCAATTTTTCTGTTGGAGGCTAGCCAGAGAGGTTTTGATTAATTAATCTCCATCGAATCTATTTTGTTTTTCTATTCCAGCTTCGACCATCACCATCATGAACTCCATGAAATCTAGAATGAATCTACGCTGCTGTATCGGTATCACAGCACGACTCCTTTAGGAAAAAATTGTACCGATTCATGAACTCGTGTGCTCGCCTAATGCATGATTTTGTTTGATGCAAAAGGTGCTACTATGTTTCGTTGGATTCTCGAAACCGCGAGATATTTTTCTCTGGAATTATTTGATCTTTTTGTTCGCTTTTGATTGGAATTGTTTCGCCTTTTCTTTTAGGCCCTTGACAATCGCTTCCATCCAACCAATCCCATGTGTCGCTGCAGGATTCTCGCCGCCGCCGACCGCCGTACCAGCGGGTCCGCCGCGCCCGGCACTCCGCGCCGTCGCGCCGCCCTGCCCGTGCCCGTGCCGGTGCCAGCTCCGCTGCCCCGCAAGATCCTCCGCCCGCCACGTAAACCGCAAGCCCCGTCCCGTCTACTCGGCTACTTGTGCTCCACGTCCCCGCCTCCCACCTACTCGCCCATTCCCTCCGGTCCGTCCATCCATCCATCCCTCGCCGTCCGATCCGCCGTTCCGACGGCCAGAGCCGGGGGTGCATGCAGCGCCCCCCTGGGGCCCCGCGGCCCGGCGCTTTCTCCGACCGTCCCCTGCTCCCGCGGGCCCTCCGTCCCCGCGGTCGTGCGGCCCCATCCCTGGCACTGTTTTGTCGTGGGGTTCGAAACGACCTCCTCTTCCAGGAGGCGGGAGAAGGGAGAAGCAAAGCCGGGGCCATCTGCTGGCTCCAAACCTTCCATTGATTCGTTCTGTCGTAGCCTCGATAGCGAAGCGTGGGGGGCCCGTTGGCTTCGGCTCCTGCATGACAAGCGGGCCCATGATTGTCATTTGCACTGCTGCTTGCACCGATACACAACTGCACTCCGGCCCGTCTCACATTTTTGTTTGTTTGTTTGTGCCGTGGCACCGGCAATAATGCAGGCGTCGCCGGCGGCAGCGGAGGAGCAGCAGGAGGCCCGGTGCGGCCGAGCCGGATGGACGAGGGGTGCGCGGGCGCGGAGGACATCGCCATCTACCAGGGCCACGCGTCGTCGCTGCCGGGCGGGGTGCCGGCGTACAAGGTGGACGTGATCAACCAGTGCATGGGTGACCTGGACGGCGGCGACTGCGCGATCGCGGGCATCCACGTGCGGTGCGGGTGGTTCAGCTCGGTGAGCCTGGTGGACCCTCGCAAGTTCAGGCGCCTAGGCCACGACGACTGCCTCCTCAACGACGGCCGGGCACTGCTCGGCGGCGAGACCATCTCCTTCGAGTACGCCAACTCGTTCCCGTACGAGCTCTCCGTCCGCGTCGCCACCTGCGTCGACCCCACCACCACCCCGTAGGCCATAGGCGCCGCCACCTCGCTCCGTCGGCAGCACACGATAGGCATATATGGCCCCGTTCGCTTAAAAAAAAACAAGTAAAACAGTTGATTTGTTTGGGAGAAAAAAACATGGCTCCTACCTGAGAAAAAACTAATCTGAGACAGGTGAACAGTTACTGCTATCACAGTACCACGAGTATTATAATACAGTACTACAAATCAGTTGCAGTAGTAGGACAGTGCAAGGCAGTTCTTTGGCTCTTGGGTCGCATAGCTGGTGGTTGGGTGATTTTGTTGGCTTTGTTGGATCGGGCGCGCGAGGGAGCGGCAGGGACTCCGCGTTTTGTTTTTGCCGAAGCTCCAAGGTCTCGCGTCTCACGTGTACATGAATGAACATGACACGGATCGAGCGGTGAAAGAATTTTAGTAGTCTAGTGTATCACTGGATGCGGGATGTGAAATTTTTGGGCAGCCAGGCCGGCCTGCTGTAATGGCAAAGCTTTGTTTCATGCTGGAAGGACTAGTACGTAGCAGGCGCGTTTGTGGTAAAGGAGGCGAGTGCTTTTTCGTGTCTGTTGGCATTGCTTGCTTTCTTCTTTTGGTTGAGCTTCTGTGTCTGCTGGCTGTTGCCATGGCCCATGGTGCCTTGTTTGCTTGCTCACATGTGAATGATTCGAGCTGTTCTGGTCATGAGGAATGCCGTTTTGCCAAGGGTGGGGTGTGGACTGTGGATGCGGGCGCCCCGGCCATTGATGTGCTTCACCGTGTGTCCGTGCGGTTGGTGCAGGGCATAGCAAGCTGTCAGCTCTGCGAGAAGCCTGCTGGCCTGCTGCTGCATGAGACCGTGCGAGTGACAGACATGCTGCGCTGCGCTGCGGTGATTGATGGGGGTGCTCGTGTTTCGCTTTAGGCCCAGTTTAGTTCCCTCTCATTTTGCAAAAATTTTCAAGATTCTCCGTCATATCGAATCTTTGAACGCATGCATGAAGTATTAAATATAAATAAAAAATAAAACTAATTACACAGTTTAGATAAAATCCACGAGACAAATCTTTTAAACCTAATTAGACTATGATTGGACACTAATCGCCAAATAACAACGAAAATGCTACAGTGTCATTTTGCCAAAAAATTCGGCATCTAAACAGCCCCTTACTCCTATGCATCGAGGCCTTAAGTAGTTCTAATATGTAAAGTTTTGGGTATCACGTCGGATATCATATATGGATGTTGTATAGGGTGTTCGGATACTAATAAAAAATAAATTACAGAATCCATCAGTAAACCGCGAGATAAATTTACTAAGCTTAATTAATCCGTCATTAGCACATGTGTTACTGTAGCACTTTATTGTTAAATCATGATCTAATTAGGCTTAAAAGATTCGTCTCGCAAAGTAGCTGTAATCTGTGTAATTAGTTATGTTTTTAGTTTATATTTAATACTCTATGCATTTGTTAAATATTTGATAAGATATGGTGTAAACTTTTTGGTAGGGAACTAAACAAGATCTGATTGGTGTGGGATGGCTGTGAAAGGCTGGAAGCTGAAACTGTAAAATGAGGGCAGGGCCTGAGCCCTCAGCGGTGTAGGGTACTGTGGGACGTCGTAGCCTCTGCTTGGCGTCTGCCCGTAGGGGTCTGCTGCTGGCTTTACACGTGTTGGGCAACCCCTGTCGCCGTGGGATAGCTGATTCTGCTGCAATCCTGAAGGCCTTCTTGCAGTGCAGATGCAGCGTAGCAGCGCCAGAGAACTGCGTGGTTTACCTACGAGTTTACGTCCCGTCTCATCCAATATCTGACATATATAAAAAAAAATAACTAGTTGCACAGATTATGACTACTATACGAGGCGAATTTTTTAAGCCTAAATAGTTCATGATTTAACAATAAAGTGTTAGAGTAACACATGTGCTAATGACGGATTAATTAGGCTTAATAAATTCATCATAGGTTTACTAACGGATTTTATAATTTATTTTTATATTAGTATCCGAACACCTTATGCGACATCTTCGTATGACACCCGATACGACACCTCAAAATTTTAGACCCTCGATCTAAACAAAGCCTCGTTTTATAAAGAATTTCGTCTGTGCGAGAGGGAATTGAAGTTTTTTTTTTTACATGTAACAACTTTTATTTCAACAGCATGAGCTGTTAATAGCCTTACAGAGTTTAAGGCTACAGACAAAAGTGTATCCTGTAACGGGCACTGAGAAACATGTGCTCTGTTAGAGCAAGTACAAGCCATAGGGTTGGCTGAGGGGCACTGAGAAAAAGATTCCTCCTGCTGCTCCTGCTCAGTGGTTGGCGAGTGTGTATAATCATTTTCCCTCTGTTGGTGATCTGCGCATGTAGTGAGTGTGCAGTCCTGATGTTCACCTGTAGATATTGCTGCATTTTGTGTCATAATGTAAGCAGCAACTGCATGGTGAACTTGGCATGGAGTCCAGGTTTTCCTTTGAAATCTTTGATCATTCCTAGCCTTCCATAAATACCACAGGGTTATTAATTGCAGCAAGGAAATAGAAGTAGAATCAGAAATGAAAGAAGAAAGAATGTGCTGGACACCATCCTCCTCCTGAGGCAAAACATCCGTCTGCAGCGGAGGGTCAGCCGAAAACCAAACCGCTCTGGCAAAGTCACAATGAAAGAAAAGATGAGAATCATTTTCCACTTTACCACAGGCAGTGCAGAGTTTGTCAATGTTTTGCGAGTATCTTCCTGCTCGTTGGCCGGTAGCTAGAGCCCTTCTAATGAGACGCCAGGTGAAAGTCTTGATGAGAGGAGGAATGTCATTAAGTTTCCACATCCTCTGTAGGATCTGGTTAGCTCGAGGAGAAATACTGCGCGAGCCTTGCTGAGGCAATTGGATCTGCGCCTGTGCCCTTAAATGCCTAAACATTCTTGGTCGTGCAATCTCCCTTCTTTGCCGGAATCCAACGCAGAATGTCTTGCTAGTCGCTATGAACAGGTTGAACCTGAGCAACGATGGCAGCCCCTTGCCGGTCAAAAGTGGTATTAAGAAGATTCAAGTTCCAGGAACGAGTGTTGGGGATCCAAAGGTCAGACACAATATTAGGAAGAGGCTGTGTAGTGACAGGAAGAAGGTGATCATGAATAGATTTCCAAATAGGGCACCAGGGCGTGGACCAAATTGAACTATTACCAGCGTGAACCTGGTAAATGGTATTATGGATTAGGTCATTTTTAACCTGAAGGATGGAAGACCAGAAGATGGAGGGGGTTCCGTTAGCTGTAGCAGTCCAAAAGGAACTGTTACTAAAATATTTGGCCCTGAGAATGCCTGAAAGGAAAGGATTTTTGTTGGTAGCAATGTTCCAAGCAGCATGAGTGATAAGACTTTTGTTAACCATGTAAAGATCTCTAATACCAAGGCCGTCATTCTCTTTGCTTTGACAGATGTCCTCCCAGGAGCGAAAAGCAATAGGATTAGTGGGGTTGTCGTCGTGAATACCGGCCCACTAGAACCTTCGTATGATCGTATTAATGTTTTCAACAAAGGTTTTGGAGAAAAGGATAGTGGACATATAATAGACTGGGATAGAAGCAAGAATAGATTGAATGTAAGTGAGTCTGCTTGCATGATTAAGCTTGTTAGCTCTAACAATAGTGAGCTTGGCACGAATTTTACTGATGATGAAATCGTAAGCTTTGTTCTTGTCTCTATGACTAAAAATCATTGGATGACCCAAATGCATAGTATTGTGAACAAGGTCAGGCACAGGGAAGATGTTAATCTGATGTTTGGTCTGATCATCGACTTTCTTACTGAAGAGGATGGAAGACTTGTTAAAATTGGGCACCTAGCCAGAAAGCTGAGAGAACTCCTGAAAAATACGATGGATGGTCGTAGCCTCAGTCATAGAGGCACGACCGCAGAGAATCAAATCATCTGCAAACACGAGGGAGTGGATAGGGGGACAGCCAGGCCCCAAAGTAATGCCAGAGAGGTTGCTGTTGTGGAGTTCCGTCTGCAGACGAATGGATAACTCATTGATGGCAATGACAAAAAGGTAGGGCGACAGGGGCAACCTTGGCGGATCCCACGCTGAGATCGAAAGGTGGCAGAGGGTTCACCATTGACTAAGATGGAGAAGGTCGGAGTACAAATGCATGCGTGAATGAAACGGATAAAATTCCCATGATACCCAGACGTCGAAGAGCCGCAGCAATGAAGTCCCATTGAAGACGATCAAAAGCTTTAGCTAGGTCAAGTTTGAGAAGAAAAGCCTTATGATTCCAAGTACTTAAATTGAAGGAGTGGATAATCTCTTGAGTGATAAGAATAGTCGACGAGATGTGTCTGTTCTTAATAAAGGCAGCCTGAGCAGGATCAATGGAAGTAGAGAGCTTAGGTCTAAGCCTATCAGCAGGAGATTTAGCTATAACTTTATAAATGACATTGCATAAACTAATAGGCCTAAAATCTTGAGGCATAACATGTTGGGTTTTTTTAGGAATAAGAGCAATAAAAGTTTTGTTGAGTTCTTGCTCGAAATAAGCTGAAGTATAGAACTGAGTTACTAGGTTGTGGACCTTCTGTGCAATCCAAGGCCAAGCCGACTTGTAGAACGCCGCGTTAAGCCCATCCGGACCTGGTGATGCATTGCTTCGCATATTCTTGATAATGATGTGCAGTTCCTGGAGACCAGGAATAGAATTTGTATAATTATCATCACCTGGCACTGCTTCCACATTACCTGAATGTTCATGGCTGTTATGGGCAGGATTGGGAGATTGTAGCAATCTTTAGATGGTGCTGAGTATTTTGGATCATGAAAATTGATTGGAAGTAGTTAATCAGGGTTTGGGCTAGCTGATCTGGAGTTGTGGAGTGAGAGCCATTGGGGTTCCAGAGGTAGGAAATTTTGTTATTGCGGATTCTTTTGGTAATGGAGTGATGAAAAAAGCGGTGTTACGATCACCTTTGGTGGCCCAGTTTTTCTTGGCTCTTTGTAGGTGGTATTCTTCATCCTTGGCTAGTATTTCGTGG